TATTTCCATTTAACAAACTAATGCTTTGTCTTTAAGTGCAAAATACAGTGCATTGTCATTCTGTGATTCATACAGTAATTATAGGATATATTAATATTTAATATATTTATTCCTAATGCATGAAAATGAAGTGGCGTTTTAATGGGACATGATTTTAAAATTTATTGTGAGTGACATAATTTAACCTCTATAGTGTATCTCTGTAGCTGTATGTACAACTTCATTTAGAGTTAATGTCTAATTCTGAGAATTTTCAGACCTTGAAGACTCAAGCCAAATGACCCTTTCAACTACCTAAGACAGGTGCTGTTTTACAAATGTTAGCTAGAAATATTTTAAATAGATGCAAAGGACATCCAAAATACTAACAGTTGAAGGCAAAAATCCATTCATGTTTCAAGAGGATTATCCACTCATCCTCCATAATGAGAAAGAATGTACAAGGCTCCATTGCATAAGGCCACTCCTGTCACATATCTGTAAGCTCACAGGCATTGACCAGAAAAACAGTGTAGGACCCACTGGGTATGCTTACAATATTCATTTTTCGATCATTACTAGTTACAAATAAAGTTTTTGAGTATAGCACTCTCTAGGTTCCAAAAATAAGATACATCAGCTCTGCACTTTGAAGTCAACCTTCACTAAAGGATAAATAACTTGATTAAGTTGTATAAATGATGCACCAAATGAATGCAATAGATGCATTTGCTACAGCAATATAGAGGATCAAGTGATCATGAAAGGTTGGGGTGGATGGTCAGGGACATTTGATGGAAGACTGGAAACTGATAAAATTTAGCCCAGCAAAGATAAAATTTAACTCATAAACTTAATATCCTGATCTTGGATCTAAAACCCAACTACATAGGTCCATGGCGGAGGGACATGTAGGTTATCTGAAACTCATTTCAAAATGAGCTTTTAGTGCTTTTGGTTAACAGTGAGTTTAAAATGTTTCAACAACGTCATTGAAAACAGTTTTAACCAACAGTACTTGAAACATATTACACAGAACAACAAAAGTGGTAGTCCAGGCCATCTGTGTTGGTCATACCACACATGGACAGATGTTTTCAGCTATGGAAGCCACGATTTGGGAAATTTACAAACATGCTGTGACATTTTCAGAAGAGAGTAATCAGAATGATGAATGGTCTCATGAAGCTTTAAATAGCTGGAGAATATAAGATTCAGGGAAGTAAAGATTTACTCAACATAGGAAATGGCTTTATAATCTAATTACCTAGAGATATACTCGGATAACTTGAGTGGTAAATTTCTACTGGAGATGTTTAAACATGGGTATGACCATGGGCAGGGATGTTGCATGTTAGAGTGTGTGAGGAATGATGAAGGATAGGAAGGATGCTGGGTGTTCTTCTTTGCTTGCAAGTAACAGAAACGTACTTGAGCTTTCTTAGGAATGAGGAGAGGTGGTTATTAGAAGAATCTACATAGTGGATTTAGGACTAGAAACTTGGCAGTGTTCCAGATAGCCATGACTGTTCGCTTTCTGTGTTTATCATGGCCATAGTGATCTTTATTTCATGGAAATTTGGCTTCTTTCTGTGGATTTATCCATTCCTCTCTTGCAACTCACCAGCTAGTCACTCAATTTTCCTGGGCAAATTCTGGAGGAAGTGAATTTGACAGGTTCAGCTAAATACCTTCACCTCCATTGAGCACAGCCTTTTGAGCTGTACCTTCTCCTGGGAAGTTGCCAGCCTAGAGATGAGTTTTCTTTGGGTTAGGTTCCAATCTCTTATCCAGTCAGTGGCCAGACCATTGGACTCAGTACTATGGCTTCCCTGCCAAACACTGGGGAATATGGCTGAGGAAAACAGTTTGAGCTAAAGGTGGGCCTGGGCCGTGGCCTGAACCATGACCAGTATAAATGGAAACACTACATATTTTTCAGTTTCCTCTGGAACTTGTAATTTCCCAATTCTGTGATGCAGGGTAGGATTGGAGTTGGACCTTGATCATTAAAAATAAGATAAGGGGAGGTTATGGCAATTCCTGATATGAAAAATAAGGTGGAAACATGTATTATTGGGGTAAATAATATAAAAAATAAAAAGGGGTGTTTGGAACTAGAGAAAAGCAGATTTTAGTTAGTTTTATTATTTCTCATTATTTTTCAGTTTGTAATATTGACCTTTACTATATACTTTCCTCCTGTTAACCGTGGAGGTACCATGTATATACTACTAAAGAAAAAGTAGAGAAGGTACTCAATTTGTCGAGATGTAAAATATTTTTTAAAAATATGAAACACTATGAATATTTCATAAAGTTAAAAATCATATGTTGTAGTAAGTGGCTTCATTCTTATTAGTGGCTGATTTCTCTACATTAAAAGTCATGTGGGAAAATGGAGTGAAAGCAAGAATGAAACAAAGCATTTTTTACTTGATCCTTTCTTTTTTTTAAAAAAGGCATTTGTTTTAAATTTTAGTTCATTTTGCTTTAATTTTCCCTTCCTCAGCTGTGTTTTTTTTCTCACAGCTATTACAACCTATCTCTTCCTCAATATGAGACTCTATGATGTTTTCTAGAAAAATGTCAGTGTAAACAAAGTGTCCTCTTACCACATAGCCAGTCAGGAGCTCAGCCCAATTATAAAAAGAAGTTTTAAAATAGTACAGGCAAGAATGATAAGAATCCATGCATATTTTTTCTAAATACTACTACCTTCTTCAGCTTAATGTCCAAAAGGACCTGCATTTCCCTAAGGGCCAGAAAAAGAGCAACACAGAAGGCCGTCACATTCTCACGACCTTGCTTTGCAGGGACCTGACCCAGATGTGGTGGGAAATACAGGACAGCAAAGCCCTTACTGAGTCTTTGTATGCATAATGCTGTCCTGGCCTTAAGTGTCCCTACTACAAAGGCAGAAAAAATGGTAATTTAATAATGTAAAACATACTGCAATTAAAAAGTAAATTATCTAAGGGGAAGAACCCATGGACTTAATGATTGGAAATGTGGAATAGTAGCAACAACCAGAGTAAGTAGACATAAGACTGTGTGTGTGTATGTGTGTGTGTGTGTTTTAAAATTTAATGTAAAAATCAGAGAATTTTTTAGGTATGGAGTATGTCCTATCAAAAAGTCTATAAATTTTCCCCACGGGTGACTTCTAGGGAAAAATAAGAGCAATCTGATAAGTTTAATGCATCCCTTTCCCCAAACACACACACACACACACACACACACACACACACACACACACCCCAAATTAAATGAAGAAAATGAAAATAAATCATGTACACTTTTGCTCTTTTCTGTCTTATTTCCCATATGGGGAATTGCCATAACCACACCCTTATCTTACTTTTAATGATCAAGGTCCACCTCCAAACCTACCTTGCATCAGGATTTGGGGAATTATAGGTTCCAGAGGAAACTGAAAACTATGTAGTGTTTCCATGTATACTGGTTATGGTTCAGGCCATGGCTTAGGGCCACCTTTAGCTCAAACTGTTTTCCTCAGCCATATTCCCCAGTGCTTGGCAGGGAAGCCATAGTAGCTAGTCCAATGGTCTGGCCATTGACTGGAGGAGGGATTGGAACCTAACCCAGTGGTTATCAGGCACCATAACTCTTCACTGCTTCAGCTAGAGGGAAAAACAACAACTTTTTTTTGTCATTTGTCCAGTTTTCTGTACCCTAGTTGAAGATATATTTCCCTTTTAGAAATTCCTTTTGAAATATTTTCTATTTTAAGCATTATGTGACTATATATACTTGTTTTATGTAAGTCTCATTTATCAACTTCCCAATTATTTATGGGTAAAGGTAGGATTAAAAATGATGTTAAAAAATGAAATGTAAAACGCAACAAACTTTGAAATTATTATTATGCCATAATCCATTTGTGATAGGTTTCTGTTTTGATTCAAATGACCTCTACTCACTTTTCTGATAAGCCACTCACATCTTTTTTAAAAAAATTAATTAATTAATTTTTATATTTATTTTTGGCTGTGTTGCGTCTTTGTTTCTGTGCGAGGGCTTTCTCTAGTTGAGGCAAGCGGGGGCCACTCTTCATCGCGGTGTGCGGGTCTCTCACTGTGGCGGCCTCTCGTTGCGGAGCACAGGCTCCAGATGCGCAGGCTCAATAGTTGTAGCTCACGGGCCTAGTTGCTCCGCGGCATGTGGGATCTTCCCGGACCAGGGCTCGAACCCGTGTCCCCTGCATTGGCAGTCAGATTCTCAACTACTGCGCCACCAGGGAAGTCCCACTGACATCTTTTTATGTATGATGTGTCTGCTGCTAAGATTCAAGGGAGGCAACCCCTTCACTGATTCCAGTGATAATAAAAATATTAACAGTCAGAGAAACATGGTCTTTGGTGGTTAAATGATTCATAATTCATTTTGCAAGATCCAGTGATCTAGTCCTTAAAGAAGTAGGAAGCCCGGGTCCTGGGATCAATATTGTGGGGACATCTGATCATCTAGACTTCTATGTAGTCAGTTTGGCTACACAGCATCTCTAGAGAGTTACATTTGGGGTCCAGAGGATGGTACAAATATTTAAAAACTTTTATCATCATGTCACCAGCCAGCCCTAGTAGAGTCTACCTCAGGAATCTTGGAATTCTCCTTTTGTTCCTCTTTTTTTTTTATTTTTAAAAATTTCTTCCCTCTACCAATTGCCTCAATGCATTCTTCCTTCCTCTTTCTTCCCAGAGGCTAGGTTCCAGTCTGGGTGTAGTGATGTGGACTCTTTACTGTCTCCACGCAGAAGAACTTAGGTGCTTCTTATTGTGCATAGTAGAACAAGAAAAGGCTAACTCTTCTTAACACTGTCAGCTGCTACTTACAGTCTAAATCGTGTGCACAGTTTCCATATGCTCTTTTTAAGATCCTCTCTTTACCATTTTAGTTTTTAATAGCTACACACATTTTAAAGAAAGGAACAGCAGCATCTACATTTTAGCAAAACAACTCTGGTCTCAGTCATAACTGATGGAAGCTTCATTTTCTAGGCAATCTGATTGGAACCAGTGAGGAGGTGACTGGAGGCCAGTGGATGGTTCATGGTGTTACCTTGCTTGTTTCAAAGTTGCACTGGCGTAGCAAACACTGTAATTAAAACACAACTTCATTTTTGTTTCTCCGCTTCAAATTTATTCAGTAGGAAAATGTTCCCTCATTACCAAATGGTATTTCCAATAGCCCCTATGACAATTAGGTAATAGACTCTTATGGTCTCAGAACTTTTCCACCAAGGTTGTTTACTCCCTCAGAAGCTCCTGGCAATTTGGCAGTCCTCATTTTAAGTGTATGCTCTGAGTTTTGAAAAAGCCATACATCTGTGTAACGATCTTGCCAATCAGCATATAGAATATCCCCATCACCCCAGTGAGTTTCCTCGTACATTTTTATAGTCAATCCTCCTCCAGCCCTGAGCTCAGGCAACCTCTAATCTGCTTTCTGTCATTATAGATGAGATTTTCCACTGTAAAATTTCATGCAAATGAAATCATATAGTATGTATTCATTTGTGTCTGGCTTCGCTAACTTGGATAATGATTTTGAGATTCATTCATGTCAATGAGTGTATCATTAGTTCATTCCTTTTTATTGTTCAATAGTATTCCACTAATTGATACAGCATAATTTGTTTATCAATTTACTTGTATATTTGAGTTGTTTCCTGTTTTCAGCTATTATGAATAAAGCTATTGTGACCATTCGTGTACAAGTCTTTGTATGGACAGTTGTTTTCACTTGGTGAACACTTAGTGGTATTTTTGAGTAACATGGTAAATGTATGTTTAGCTTCATAAGTGATGTACAATTTTGCTCTCCCATCAGCAGTGTATGAGTGTTCCGGTTGCTCTACATCCTTCCCAATATTTGATATTGGCAGCTTTAAAATATTAGACAACCTAGTAGATATTAGTGAAACCTCATTTGATTTTAATTTGCATTTTACTGATGACTTTTATGAAGTTTTAAAATAGTTTGTTCAGACACAGTACCCACAATTCAAAAGACCCTCAATAAATTTTTGTTGAGCTTGTATTAACTGGATATAGAAAATGTCACTCATCTAAGGAATTGAGTAAAGTTTAAAGCATTCTCTGGTATTTATGAGTCATTGAGCAAGTTATGAAAGGAGAGAGCTAAAACTAATTCTCAAGAATTTAAAAGAAATTGTATGTTCTCTTCTGTCTATCAAGTATGATCTCCAGGCAATTGCTCAAGGCCACATAGGTAGTGCCAGAACGAAGGTTAAAAGCCGCATTTTCTCATTTTCAATTTAATTCTCTTTATATTTAAATCAAGATAAATTTAAAACATTGATTTTTTTTGTAAAGCAACTATACTCCAATGAAAATTAATTTAAAAACATTGATGTTTATACCATTTTATTGAATTTATGTTTTATTCAATTACTATTTTGCCACAGTTATTTCTTCCGTTCATCATTGCAAACTTTAGCTCTGTGATAAAAACTTAACCATCACTCAGAATTTATTGCCCTTCATGAAAATGTATTTCAGGTTTCAGATAACTTATTAAAAAATGAACCTTTAAATGTGTGTTTATTTGGGGAGACCTACATATTAGGTAGTATCTTTGTTTCCTACCTTATTATTATTTTTTAAGCAATTATTTCATAAGCACTTCAGAGGTGAATTGCCTAAAAAGACAGTGCTCTGTGTATTACCCCTCAGTTCTGTAATTGCATTTAGCCTCGCCTCAGATGAGCTGTATTTGTGCTATGTGCAGCTAACTGATAGGCTGGGACACTCCATTGCACAACCGAGGGCATCAGTCCATTTCAGTGCTTTGTTAACATTAAGTAGCCAGTGAGAAACAATTTGATAAAAGTCCCTGGTTTTTACACACAGAAGTTCAGACAAAAAGTTGCCTGAAGTAAGATTCTATTTAGGCAAGGAAATACAGGAAATAGAGCATTATAATAAGGCTCAGATGTCAAGAACAGGAAACTCCTGTTAAGCATGTTGATTTGGCCATTTTGATGGAATTGTTTACCCCAAACCTCCTCCTTTGTAGTATTCTTTAACAGAAAAAATCACTTAGCCTTTGAGGCATATTTTAATTATTATTCCTCTCTAACATGGCACATTACATTGACAGCTCATTTTAAGTCTGATTTTTTCTTATTCTGAAGTACTTGCTTTTGTGTATGCTTTTTTTCTTCATTGAATTTTAGTGTACATTGAGAAGTGGCCTCTCAAATCACCAGCCCCACCCTGGTCCGTGGAAAAATTGTCTTCCATGAAACCGGTCCCTGGTACCAAAAAGGTTGGGGACCACTGCTTTAAAACATTTAAGAGGTATAGCTTTGGCAGTCTCTTTTGTTTAATTGCGCAGGACTTCATATTAATTTGAAAATATTTAAAACTACCTTAAATCAGCCAATGGGCTATGTTTTCTCTTTTAATTTGTATTAGTTTGATAAATATTTTGTTGAGTGTTTTCTGTGCATCAGCTGCTGAATCAGATACGAGGGATGAGTAGGAAATGGGCCCAAGCACTTCACCATGTGGCTTCAATTAAACAGAAAAAGTCTCATGGTAAATAGTAGATCCTAATAAAAGCACGCTGTGTGCTGGGACTTAAAAGCTTGCCTTTGGGTAAATGATTTAATCTCCCTGGACCTGATTTCCTCTCTGTGAAACGAAAGGGTTGAATTATATGGTAGTTTACATTATCTAACATTATAAAATTATTTTACCAGAGGTGTGCTGGTCCTGGGCCCAACTGCCCTACGTTCAATCCTTCACTCTCCTATATACTCCGAGGGTGCAGATGATCCCCTCCAGGTGACTTTTCCAGGCTCCAGTGTTAGCTGACATCTGGCAGGATTAAGTCAGGGAGAGGCTGGCTTAAGTCAATGGTGGAAGATTGGAGGGCAGGGTAAAGACTGAGTTTGGAGGAGAAAGAAATCAAGATCACCCCCTCCTCTTCTCAGCCTCAGATGGCTTCTCTCATGGTTTTTATCTCCTTCACTGCTCCAGCCTCCACTGCATCCAGACCCACCATAGTTTCTAGTTTCCATAGGGTCATCCTGGCCTCTTGGTTCCAGGAATTGCCTCTTTTCCCATTATCCATCTAGCTTAAGAAAGATAAAACTTTCTGCTATTGCCGTCGCCAGGGTTATTTTATAGTGCCCTGTTAAACTCTCAGCCTCACCATTCTCCATGAACCTGTGTATTTTCCATTCCTTCTTCTGTGAACACTGGAAGTTGTTTCTGTTTTTCTGGTTAGACTGTGACTAGTCTGCAGTGTTTACTTCCTATTTACTTTAGAGCAGTGAAAGTGCTTTCAACAATTCAGGAAGAAAAATATAAGCATGGATACATTCACTGAGCTGACCCAAACTAGTTCTTACCGTGGATACTGGCATCAAAAAAATGTTCGTTTTATGTCCCTTTTGGTTGAGTATTGAAGGAAATACAGGATCCACTTTTTTATTGAAGCCGCTAACTTGAATCTTTTGAAAGTTAAGTCCCAAGTAAATCAAGGTGCGGGAAATCTTTAAAGAAGTACTACATTAGAGGACTTCTCTGGTGGCACAGTGGTTAAGAATCTGCCTGCCAATGCAGGGGACATGAGTTTGAGCCCTGGTCCAGGAAGATTCCGCATGCCACGAAGCAACTAAGCCCATGCACCACAACTACTGAGCCTGTGCTCTAGAGCCCTCGAGCCGCAACTACTGAAGCCCGCGCACCTAGAGTTCGAGCTCCTCAACAAGAGGAGCCAACGCAATGAGAAGCCTGCGCACCGCAATGAAGAGTAGCTCCCGCTCGCCACAACTACAGAAAGCCTGCATGCAACAACGAAGACCCGACACAGCCAAAAATAAATAAGTAAATAAATAAATTTAAAAAAAAAGTACTACATTAGATTGTGTGCTTCTTGGTTCTTAGGGCAAATGGCTTTATTATAGCTTCTACATCTCTTAAACATGTCACTTTTCCACCAAAAGTATTAATGAAAAATAAAATTATAGTGATAAGTGTATTAGCAACCTAATGTTTTGGTAAAAGAAAGAGATGTAAGAAACTGTTTTAAAGACTTGGCTAAGCACTGTACTTTTCTTGCATCTATTTTATCTCCACTGTCTTTAGGTTGCTAAGATACTTCCTTCATTTCTGGCAGTTTCACCAGGAGAGGACAAGAATACAAACTGAGGTGATTTCACTTTTAAATGAGATGTAGTTGTCTCTTGTGGAGATTTTTAAAAATTTAATTTATTCACCAAAAAAGAAGGGGATGGGATAAAAATTCACTCTATTTCTCCCCCACCGCCCCAACTTTGGATATAGAGATAAGAAGAGACATTCATGGTGATTGGATGACAAGGAAAATAATGGTATCATTGCTGATACATTGAGAATCTCATAGAGAGGAACTAGGTAGATACCCAGTGAGAAGGTCAGTGTATTTGTTTCCTGTGGCAGGTGACTTAAAACACACACTTGATGGCTTAAAACACACACTTGATGGCTTAAAACGGCACAGATTTATTTTTTATATTTTTTGAAAATTAAATAATTCTATTTTTTAGTGAAGTATAGTTGATTTACAATATTATACTAGTTTCAGGTGTATAACATAGTGATTCAATATTTTTATATTATTATAAAAACAGATTATATTCTGTTTAAAATTATTATAAAATATTGGCTATATTTCCTGTGCTGTAGCCCCATTTTAAATATCTAAATATATATTCTAAAACTTGATGGGATCTTTGGCACCAAGAAATTTAGTGAATAATTCAAACCAACTATTATGTCATGATATCGGTGACATGGAGAGATGATCTTTCACTTCTATTTTTAAAAAGTAACCTGAGGGTATATACTGGTCCCCTCTGCTATATCAGTCAATCAGAGAACTGGTATCTTTCCATATGCAGAAATAATACATTGCTGTTGTTGTAGCTGAAAATATTAAAATTTAAATTACATTCCACCCTGCTGTCAAGATTGTGTTAACCAAACTTAATATACAAAAAATGACAGTACAATAAAATACAGAGTACGATAAGTCACTAAGCTCCTCTTATTTCATATATGTGGAGAGAGGGTTGAATTTAATGCTTGAATCTCCCTGCTCAAACTTGTCTGAATGTCCTAACATTTGTAGAAAAGCAGCACAGATTTATTAATTCACAATTCTGGAGGCCAGAAGTCTGAAATCAGTATCACTGGACTTAAACCAAGCTGTCAGCAGGGCTACATTCTCTTTGGAGGCCAAAGGGGAGAATTTATTCCTTAACTTTTCTAGCTCTAGTGGCTGCTGGCATTCCTTGGCTTGTGGCCTTACCACTTCAATCTCTGCCCTAGGGTCCCATTGCTTTCTCCTCTTGCGCAGTAAAATTTCCTTCTGCCTTCCTCTTATAAAAAAGACTTGTGATCATATTTAGGGTCCACCTGAATAATCCAGGATAATCTTTACATCTCAGGATCCTTTATCACATCTGCATAGAACTTTTTGCCATGTGTGGTAACACTCACAGTTTCAGGGTATTAGGATTGGGACATATTTGGAGGCCTTTATTCAGTCTGGTATAGTCAGGTAAAGTGTGTAAAGAGGCTGGTGTGACTTT